AGGTTTCTCAAGATCCTGCAAAGTTTTCTCAAGATCCAGCAAAGGTTATCAAGATCCTACACAGGTTCCTACAAACAGTTTCTCAGAATTCTGCAAAGGTTTCTCAGGATCCTGAAACTTTTGTAGGATCTTGAAAAAGTAAGTCAGGGTCCGTTTTTTTTCCCACATCCCCTCACAGGCTCCGTAAATCAGCAGCCAGAGCATACTCCTGTTTATTTTTTTTTTTCATTTGATGTGTTGGAAATAACAATGGTCTGCAGAAACATGAAGCACCTAAAGTATCATGGAAATGCAAATATGCAGCTGTCATGATGGTTGATTGCTGCACTTTTTGTCTGCAAAGGTCAGTAATAACGTCTGATCCTTCATTTGTTTGATGCTGCATCACRACCACATATTTGTTTGTCTAAAACTCATGGGAAACGTCTCTCCAACACAACAGACGTGTCAGTTCAGAACCCTACAGTGAGTCAGACAGGAAACGCTTCGATCCCCTTCACTGTGAGGGTTTCTATTAATCCTGTTTCTGCAGAAAGCATCACCTCTCTGACCCGGACTGTAAGGTGTGGAGACACAAATGCAACTCTCGGCCCGACGGCCTTTCTGTGTGAAAGTCCCGCTGTCTGAGTGATGGCTGCTCGACACCAACCCTACTGTAACAGGAGGATAATCTGGTGTAATAACAGGCAGGGATGCTTTGGGTAAATGGCACTCTGCAGGAAACACAGCTGAGGAAAACAATAGAGTGCTGAGTGACCGAATCAGCATGATGCTGCAGCATCGCTTAGATAATGGAAAAAAAAACTAGAACAGAGGGAAAGAATATAATAGAGCACAATTATTTATGCTTTTTTTCCCTGTGGATCACCACAGAAATGACCTCCAGAAAGTCAAAACTGAGACGAACAACAGAAAGAAACAAAATAATATCCAGCTGTTGACCGATATTTACTGTAACGCTTCTCCCAGTCTCTCGTTGACCTCCCTCTTTTACCCCCCACCCCCCAATCTATTTTTAGCAGCAGCCGCTCTCACTCAGGCCTAATGTAAGAATAGATGTTGCTCCCAAGAAACACAGCGGGAAATATTCTGCAGGCATCAAACCGGAGGGAGGGGGTTGGTGTCTTGTCACTCTGACCGATTTAACGAGCTCTGCGTGCTGTTTATCTCCTGCTGCACATTTGCCCAACATTTAAGTGCTCGGATATTTTTGGTATCTTGCCCAAAACGTATTGACTGATGAGGCAGTAAAAGAACCTCCCGCAGTCAGTTCTTCTGGAGGATGAGAAAGGTGCTTATTATAGAGTTCAGCGTCGAGCGCTGCCTCTCCAGGCTGGAGCTCAGAGCCGTCGTTTTAAGGGTCAGCAAGTTTATWTGATAAATAAGAAGAATCRGAYGAGTTGAAAAGAATCCGTCACAATTAATGATGTCCTGGATTCAGATGATGACAGAGGCTTGTCCTGATCAGCTCAAACATCGGGGAGTCTGAGGAGCAGTTTATGAAGTTTAAWGCAACATGATCAGGTCAAGTTATGAACAAATAAGCAGCTCAGATAATTTGATTTTTCTGGGTAAAGATTTTATAAAGAAGACCCTGTTTATTGTTTTAAAATCTATTTTTAACAAACAAGAACTTGAGCTGAATCATATGATTAGGTTGCAGATTCAATGGAAGCATGTTTTCTATGAAACATCCCACAGTGACAGTTCAGCTGCAGTGAAACTGTGATGCAACGCTCGGCTACTTTTTCCTGCTTTAATGTAATTTATCGGCCTGTCTCCTCTGCAGCGCGCCTTCTTTGCTCGTTTATCACAGCTTCTTGCAGTAATGTTTCTTCAAAAGTAAAAAAAAAACAAACAACTGTGGCACATGACTTGTATGATATGTTTTTGTGGCTGAGTCGTGGCGAATAAAGAGAGGAGAACAGGAAGGGAAAGACAACACGAGGAGATGAGAAAACAAAAGGAATACACCCACAGATGAGTCGAAAAAAAGAGTTGAAAACAGTGAAATCATTGAAATCTTCACACCTCAACCTTCATCCCATCCCTGTGTGTCATCATCATCCAGCATCCCTCCTCCATACCTCACCATCCAACCCTCCATCCATCCCTCTATCCAAACCACCGGCTCAATGACAACCAAAGGTCACGTCGTTCCTCCTTTTATTTACTGAACTCCTTCAGCAGCCATTTGTTTTCATAAAGGAGCTGATGAGGCTTTGATGGTGCATTAACAGACAGGATTGGGGTGGGGGTTGTTGTCCTCCAGCACAACGTGTGTGTCTGAATATTTGAGTGTGTGTGTGTGTGTGTGTGTGTGGGCAGGACAATCCAGCTGCATGCTTCTCATAATGAAAACTGACAATACACACATTCACAGGGGAGGGGAGACTTTCCTTGAACAGCAGTTTGAAGTGAGTCTCTTAGATGTTGTGAGGAGGTTTCTGCGGCTCAGGAAATYGTTTTATTTCCGTCTGTGAGAACCAGTTTTAGGCTTTAAACTGGAGCACGTTTTGATCGCTTCTTCAAAGTTTATTTGAGGTTCCGGGTTTGTCCTTTCAAGGAGACAAGACCGGCCTGGAGTACTTAGACTGCAAATGTCAGTTTGTGTTAAGATAGCACAGCTGAGTCCAGATAGAAATTTGTTTTGTTTTTGTTTTTTACGAACTGTGAACTTAGAGCAACAACCTGTCCTCATTACACGTGTTGGTGGATACGGTGCTGAAGAAACAAGCTAATGATGATGAACTTTGCTCTGTCTGCCTTTATTTTTACTAAAAACAGGAACTTACGATTCTGAATTAGTTATTTCTYGCTCCATCGATACAAAATAAACAATAAAAAATGTTTTAAACTACATCATAAGGAAAAAGGTTGTTCAATACACTGAAAAACAAACTGACAGGGTTTATTAGGCTTGTCATTTTCCCAATGTAAACCATACATGCATCAACTTCTGACTGACATAATGATGTGATTTGAGCATAAACCAGCTGCAGCTAATTGCATTAGCAGTGTTCATATCTGCAGTGCAGTATTTAAATAACATGGATCTGTTTGATGTAACAGCAACAAGATTTTACCTCAAAATACGGATACAACCCAGAAAAGAAAAATGTTATTTATAACAAAAACTGTCAGGTCTGTTTATGTCAGTGTATTTATTGTCATAACGCTCTATTGAGCTCTCTTTACACGAGGGAATCTCAAAATTTAGACTTTCTGAACAGCAAAAATAAAGTTAAGTTTAAATCTGTAATAAAAATTCCAGTTTTTATCCAGTTTGCAGAATATTAAGAGCTGTTTTTAGCACCAATAACTTAAAGCAGCACCTTGTGACACAGAGCCATCAGAATTAGTGGCCTAAAAAACATTTTAATTGTAGATTGGGACAAGACGAGCTCCTTCATCCAATCATAACTTTCAATGCGGTTCTTTTCTTTTTGCTTTTGATTGAAAATACAATCCAGTTCGCTATAACAGATGATAATCACATTTTGATGTGTCATTGTTTGYTTTTATAATCAAAATACCATAACTTTGTGGCAAAAAAAAAAAAAACGACAGAGATGTTCCTTGTTTGATAGATGGATTCTGTGTTTCTGTAAACATTATGAAACATCTGTGATGCCCCAGAGGTTTTTATATTTCTAAATCCTCCTCCGATCTTCSAACGGAGTTTTACTGATTCCCAAACACAAACTCTATTACATGTTATCTGGTTAAGAACCAGGAGAGGTTTGAGTTCAAGTGGTGACATTGTTAATATCAGGTTTTGTTCTCTTTCAAACATCCGTGACGTTCAGCTTTCAGAGCGTTTACCACAAAAGGGGCTTGATCTCAAATTACAGGATGACCGAAGATCATAGTTATTTCAGCTATTTCTAAGCAACAAATCAGCAATGAAACATGAACCTGGTCAGCTGTGAGACTAGAGACAAATGAAGAATCCGCCTACACGGATGCTGCAAACTCTCCAAGAAGTCAATAATTCACCACTTCAGAGACCTGAGAGGCAATCACTGTCTGGAAGGTAGAAATCAGCCTTTTTCACAGATTTTTACGGCAAAACTGAATTCAGATTTGATATAAAAATGAAACCCGGGGTAAAGTAAGGTTAATGCATGAGGTATGGATCACTCTTCAGTGATTATAGCAGAGAATTGTGAGTGTGTATGGGGGTGGGGGTGCTGCTGGCACCACTGACTTTGCAGAATTGACCTACATGTGCAGAGCAGTTAGGTTCACACCTGAGTTTACACAGCCAGGTTCTGAGTCATCCTGTACGACTCAATCAGAGCCTCCTGCTCATAACCCTGGGTGTGTGTGTGTGTGTGTGTGTGTGTGTGTGTGTGTGTGTGTGTG